CATGGCAACTCACTCACCACTCACTCACCACTCACTCACCACTCACCCACTCACTCACCACTCACCCACTCACCACCCACCCACCCACCCACTCACCCACTCACTCACCCACTCACCATGTACTCCATGTTAGAGGCAGCCGGGCTGACGAATGCTCTCAGCTTGTTGTGCATGGCAACTCACTCACCACTCACTCACCACTCACTCACCACTCACCCACTCACTCACCACTCACCCACTCACCACCCACCCACCCACCCACTCACCCACTCACTCACCCACTCACCATGTACTCCATGTTAGAGGCAGCCGGGCTGACGAATGCTCTCAGCTTGTTGTGCATGGCAACTCACTCACCACTCACTCACCACTCACTCACCACTCACCCACTCACTCACCACTCACCCACTCACCACCCACCCACCCACCCACTCACCCACTCACTCACCCACTCACCATGTACTCCATGTTAGAGGCAGCCGGGCTGACGAATGCTCTCAGCTTGTTGTGCATGGCAACTCACTCACCACTCACTCACCACTCACTCACCACTCACTCACCACTCACTCACCACTCACCCACTCACCACCCACCCACCCACCCACTCACCCACTCACTCACCCACTCACCATGTACTCCATGTTAGAGGCAGCCGGGCTAACGAATGCCCTCAGCTTGTTGTGCATGGCGACGATGCCGGATCTGTCCACCTCGCTCAGATACCGACGTCTTCGCGACCTCCCCGCGCGGCTCCACGACGAAGCGTTCCTCCCGCTCGGATGCTGCTCCCACTGTCTGACCCGCGGCGGCTGATTCCACGGTGGGTCCGTCACGAGCTGCCCGGATTTGTTGAGCGAGGACGAGTTCGCTGTTGATGTAGCCCCATCACCTCCACGATGATGATGGTGGTGCTGGTGGTGATGGTGGTGATGGTGGTGATGGTGCCCTTCCGAGATGGGCAGTTGACCGGCCCGGGCACAACGAGGGGGCAGCAGCGAGGGCAGCGAGAGCAGCAGGGAGAGTGGCAGCAGCAGAGCGCTGTGCCAGTGCATCGTGGTGGTGGTGGTGGTGGTTGTGGTTGGTGGTGGTGGTGGTGGTTGGTAGTGGTGCTGATGGTGGCAGCAATTGTGGTGAGAGTTGGTGGTGGCGGTGGTGAGGGTTGGTGGTGGCGGTGGTGGTGGTGATGGTTGTTTGTGGTGGTGGTGGTGGTTGTGGTGGTCGTGGTTGTGGCGGTGGTGATGGTGGTGGTTGGTGGTGGTGGTAGTGGTGGTGGTGGTGATGATTGTTGTTGGTGGTGGTGGTCGTGGTGGTGGGGGTGGTTGGTGGTGGTGGTTGGTGTTGGTTGGTGATGGTTGTAGGTGGTTGTGGTGGTGGTGGTGGTTGGTGGTGGTGGTGGTTGGTGGTGGTGGTGTTGGGTGGTGGTTGGTGGTGGTGGTGGTGATGGCGGTAGTGGCTGTGGTGGTGATAGTGATAATGGTTGGTGGTAGTGGTGGTGGTAGTGGTGGTGGTTATGGTTGTTGTTGGTGGTGGTGGTGGTGTTGGTTGGTGGTGTTGGTTGGTGGTGGTGGTGGCGGTGGTGGTTGTTGGTGGTGGTGGCAGTGATTGGTGGTGGTGGTGATGATGATAGTCTGCCACGGTATTCTGAATCGGTCTTGGGCCTCCCCTAGTTCAACTCGGCCTCAAATGAGCACCTGGTGCGGTGTGCAGTAAAACATCGTCACTGGGGAGACAAAGGCGGCCGGGCGTGGTGCTGGCCACCCACCCCCTCGTGTGCCACCGTGCCGGCCTTATCAGGTGCTCGCTAACAGCACTTGCCCCAGCAGTCTGTTCCAGGCTATACGGGGGATCTTTGTCTTTGGTGGCGATAGTGGTGGTGGTGGTGATGGTGATGAAGATATTCAAGAAACTCTCGAACATTTGTTCAATAATCTGTGGACAAAAAGAACAGAGCAACGTTTAGGCAGAGTCTGCAAATACCCAGCAGGTGCCGTTTTATCCGACCCGGCGCTCACATACACACTCACATACACACACACATACACACACATACATACACACATACATACACACATACATACACATACATACACTCACATACACACACATACATACACACACATACATACACACACATACACTCACATACACACACAGACATACACACACACACTCACACACACATACATACACACACATACATACACACACATACACTTACACACACAGACTCACCTACACACACAGACAAACACACACACACACTCACATAACACACATACATGCACACACATACACTTACACACACAGACTCACCTACATACACAGACAAACACACACACACTTACATACACACTCACATACACACACATACATACACACATACATACACACATACATACACACACATACACTCACATACACACACACATACATACACACACAGACCCATACACTTACACACACACAGACACACTTACACACACACTCACATGCACACACACAAACAACAACAACAACCGCCATTCGCTACTAAGTGGCGGTGACGTCACCACGACGCTAGTGCCAGGCCATGTGCACCTTGAGGCTACGTGAAGTGTCGAACGCCCGCTGGCAGGAGGTCACGGGGCAGACCCAGCAGGTGCCACGGGTCGACTGACCGAGATGACCGAGATGACTGGCTGATGCACCACCTGTGCCCCCTACTGTGCCAACTTGCTGTGCTTTAGCCACCCGGCGCTCCGCTCGTTGTTGTGAGCGTCGCTCCTCCGCCCTCAGCTGTTGCTGGAGGGCGACTGCTTCCAACTGGCCAGTAGCCTCAAGGTGCACCTAGCCTGGCACCGCCCAGTAGCAGCAGCGTCCTTCACGAGCCTCCTCCTCCACAGAGGTCGATCTCGACACCGCTGGTACCGGTCATCGGCAAGTCCACTCAGCTCCACGTCCTCCTGTACCACATCACTCCATCTCGTCTCTAGCCCGTGCCGCGCCCGTTTAGCTGGTTGGGGCATGCGGTGGCTGGACATGCGTTGGAACGTGACCCCAGCCAACCCATCAACCGTGCAATACCAGAGGAGCTCACCGATGGGACCGTGTCCATAACACTGGTCAACACACTTTTTCTGGCACGAGGTATTCCAACGGTTTGAAGGTAATTTTGGGGTCCTGATTCCAAATCTGGCATCAGTTTTTGTCTGTCACATCAGGTTTTTGAGATATCAAATATTTCCGCATTTTCAATAAAAACTGCGGAAGAAAAATATTAAATGAATGTGGATATCTACATAAAATGATATTATAAACACACTATCCTAAAATACAGCGTCATATTTTAACACTAAAGCAGTCACTGACTCGCAACAACTTGCAATCATAAGTGACAGAGTTAATTTCGGGTAAAATCAATGAAAACGGGGTATGCCGATAGCACGAAAATGAGATGTGATAGAGCAAATCTGAGATCAGATTTGGAATCGGCACCCTGAAATTAGTCTAGAACAGCTGCAAAAGTCCAGGCCAGAAAAAAATGTTTTTTAAATCCTTTATATTAAGTTCGCTTGCTTGCTTGCTTGCGACCGTGCAAATCTTTCGGTCGTTTTTTAACCCACTTCCCGTGATCCAATCGAGCTGACATTTTGCACACAGACTCGTTGTGCGAGACAATTAATGTTCGTGAAATTTTTTTCCTAAATTTTACACTGTTTAGGGAAAACAAATAAAATATTTAATTGCCAATTGCTTAATACTGGCAGACAATCATCTGACCCATAGGTGGCACTCATCTCAAGCCAGAGGACGAGAGGACTCTAGCCGCCACGCATATAAAGGATTTATAGTGAAAAACTTTGTTTTTACGGGTTATACTTATTTTGTTGTTGACCAGTGTTACCTGTCGAGGATTTGTGAGCTCCTCGCACAAAAACTCCGGCCTGCAGGTTAAACCCAGGATTGCATCGTAGGCAGGCCGGTATGAACGGTTCAAACCGGTGCAGATTTCGATTTAAAGCTTTCGTGACTGCAGGGATTCATCTTCTTGGTTCTTTCGGTAAAGTCACGTAGAAGGGAAGTAAAAAATTAACCCGTAAAAACAAAGTTTTTCGCTATAAATCCTTTATATGCGTGGCGGCTAGAGTCCTCTCGTCCTCTGGCTTGAGATGGCTGCCACCTATGGGTCAGATGATTGTCTGCCAGCATTAAGCAATTGGTAATTAAATATTTTTAAAAATTTCCCTAAACAGTGTAAAATTTTGGAAAAAAAACATTTCACGAAAATTAATTGTCACGCACAACGAATCTGTGTGCAAAATGTCAACTCGATTGGATCACGGGAAGTGGGTTAAAAAACGACCGAAAAATTTGCACGGTCGTAAGCAAGCAAGCAAGCACGCACGCAAGCAAGCGAACTTAATATAAAGGATTTAAAAAATAATAATAATAAAACATAATAAAATACAATTCTCACGACGTTTCGGCCACAACGCAAGCAGCCGTCCTCAGGTGAAGCATGAAACACCACCAAGCATCCAACCCAGCTTAAATATACGCTCCAAGCTTGGTGGTGTTTCATTCTTCACCTGAGGACGGCTGCTTGCGTTGCGGCCGAAACGTCGTGAGAATTATTTTATTATGTTTTATTTTTATTATTTTATTACTTCCCTTCTACGTGACAACTTTACCGGGGCAGATGTTCCATTAGAGGAATGTGGGAGGGGAGAGGGGGGAGGTGGTGGTTCCACGTTTCGCCAAGTGGAGACTTTGGTCCGAGAAGACCTGAAGCTTCTTGCGGAGTGACAGAGCCAGGCAGATGATTCCATCGGCAGCGCTACGCCGCCGATGAAAAGTGAAACGCCGCTCGACTGATTCGGAGTGAGACCTCCGCTGCTGAACCGTGGGGGAGGCTCCTCCAGCCATCACCGTTCACCAGAGGTCGCAACCGGGTACCCGATACCCGTACCCTACCCGATACCCGGCTACCCTGGTGCGGCCGGGTACGGGTACCCGTTTGC